GGGGAGTTTTTGGGGATTGAAACAGCATTTGGGTTCAGAAATACTGATTAAGGGAACACTGGGGCTCTTAAATACCAATTTAGGGACACAAGCTTACAAAGCCCTGGTTTGGGGAGTTCAAGGCTGAGAAAAAATCCTGTCAGGAGCTCTGGGAATCAGGAAGTGTGATTTGGGGATATTTTCAGATCAGCAAGAACGAAATAGAGAGCTTCTGGGCGCCAATAAAAAACCCAATTAAACCAATTTTGCGCTCTGCAGTCCCCACTTGGGACGCTTTGGAGCTCCATAAGCAGCGATTTCGGGAGCTTTTGGGCTGAGAAACACCGATTTCGGGAGCAGAAGGAGCGAGCCCTGGGGAAACTCGGGAGAGGAAACTCGGCGCTTACCTGGCACAGGGATGGGGGGAAGCAGCTCCGGGCTGGGCTGGGAGCACCGGGGCTGCTCATCCCGGCTTTATCTCCCCCTGCCCGGCCCCGTTCCCACCCCTCGGGCTTCTCCCTCCGCCCCGCACCTCCTTTCCCATCTTTACACCGATTTCCCCTAAGTCACGCTCAGCCTGGAAACTGAAAGTGAAAATGCTCCCTGTGTTATGCGAATTTCACAATGCCAGAGGTTTATGTCCAAAACGGAGACAAAAGGGTCCTGTAACTTTACTCAAGTAAAGGTAGAGGCCATGAGATGTTTACCCTGGGGTCTCTCAATTTTTTTGAAGACACAGCCTCCTTTTCAGTGCTGTTTTCCCATCCACATCACCCTCTGTCTTTCCCCATTGGCTGAGGTACTTGAGAGGTACAGACTCCCCGAATCACCTAATACCTATCCCCTCCCAATATGCACCCCTCTTTTTCTTTGTACCTCTGTTCTTCTTTTCTAAGTCCAGGGGTTTAACACAACCTTGGATAAGCAGAAATATGTGTCAATTAGTACCACTCCTCTGAAATGCATGGCTCCTCCTGTTGCTTCTTTTACCTGCCAGTATCTGGTTTTATCTACAGGCAGACTCGCAATTTGTAAAGACATGTTCCTCCCATTCCTTTAACAATTAAATTCAGACTGGGAAAATTATGGCTAACTCATCAAGTTTTGTACTTGCCTAACTCTCCAAAACCTTTATTAGTAGGAAACTTATGGGAAAAATTGAATGCAGAGATCGAGTTTTGGGACTGGTTCTTCATTCAAACAAGGAAATTTGAATGGACCCTCAGAACCACCTCTGTTGTTAATCCAGCTGTGTTTCTGTTGGCCTCCAAAGTACTCCAGAACATGATTGCCTACAAACAACCAAAGAAGTTGATTCCAGACAACAAGATTTGAAGGACAGCCCGACAGAGAGCCCAGACTGGGAGCTGTACATGGACAGAAGGAGCTTTGTTCACAAGAGTATGTGGTGACTAGGCTGAACAAAGGAGTTAATTCAAAGGCTCTAACATCAGGTGTTTCAGCACAGAAGACCAAACTGGTTGCTCTCATCCAGGCATTGGAACTGAGAAAGAAAGAAAATGATCATCTGGACGGATTCTAAGTGTGCTTTTTGTGTAGTGCCTGCCCGTGGGGCAATCTGGAGAGAGGGGTTTGTTATCAGCACAGGGTGCATCAATCGAACACGGGACACAAATATTACACCTGCTGAAAGCAGTACAAAAACCACCTGAAGCTGCAATTCTGCACTGTAGAACACACCAGACAAGTAAAATAGGGCCAAAATAGGGAAATTACTTGGCTGACAGGACAGCTAAAGAGGCTGCAGAAAAAGGCATCCGCAACAAGAGATCAGTGTACCATCTATTAAGCTAGAATATGATGCAAAAGATTTTCAGTTAAGGGATATATTATAAGCTAGACTTCACCCTGGTGGATGGGCAGTCACACCTTCTGGACGAGTTAAATTTCCCAAAAAATGATGATAGAAATGGTAGAGAGCACCAATCTATACACTGGAGTGCAGAAAAATACTTAAGACACTTAAGAAAGACAGTAATTGGCTCCAAGATGACCAGAAAGACCCCTTAAGTTTCACCAAGGGATTGGGCATAAAATTCTTAGAAGACTTAAAGATCAAAGCAGCCAAAATACTCAGTGTAACTAATTGTTGGAAATGTTCTCAACTAATGTTTGGAAGAATGGGGTTCCCTTGGAGGGCCCACCCTGTGGGGTCCCACAGCTCTGTCCCTGGGCTCTGCCTCATACCAGAGTCAGTGCAGGGGCACTTACAGAAAACTGCTGTGGAACACAGGGATACAATGATCAGTTTGACAGGATTCACTAGGCTTTCCCTTCAGGAGAAACCAAACCCTGTTCTAGTTCCAGAGGCCACGGTGTGAGAGGTTTTCTGTGCTTTACCATCACTCCCAATGCCAGTGGAACTCGGGGTGCTGGAGCTGGTCAGGGTCAGTGCCACACCACCACTCCCAGCTGCAGGACCACTGGGAAACTCCTCTGGCCCCAAGTCACCGGGAACACAACAGCAGCACAGGGAGGATCCACCAGCAGCCCACAGTGGGAAATAGGAAATCAGACCTTTGGTACTGGGAATGGGAGCTGCTGGGTGTGTGGAGACTGCCCATAAACGGCTTCCTAAAGGATGGTTTGGGTCCTGTTCCCAGGCAATGTTGGTGCCTCCCTTTAGGGCATTTCAGCAACAACCACAAGGAGGAGTTGGGGCCAAGAGCAATAACTGCAAGGAAGAGTTGAGGCCAAGAGCAACAACCACAAGGAAGACTTGGGGCCAAGAGCAACAACCACAAGGAGGAGTTGGGGTCAAGAGCAACAACTGCAAGGAGGAGTTGGGGCCAAGAGCAACAACCACAAGGAAGAGTTGGGGCCAAGAGCAACAACTGCAAGGAGGAGTTAGGGTCAAGAGCAACAACCACAAGGCAACAACCACAAGGAGGAGTTGGGGCCAAGAGCAACAACCACAAGGAGGAGTTGGGGTCAAGAGCAACAACTGCAAGGAGGAGTTGGGGCCAAGAGCAACAACCACGAGGAGGAGTTGGGGCCAAGAGCAACAACCACAAGGCAACAACCAGAAGGAAGAGTTGGCGTCAAGAGCAGAGGCCATTGATGGTGCTCCCTGCACTGACCCCCTCCCACACAGGCTCTGTGGGGCCATGGAGGGTGCTCAGAGGTGCCTGCCTTGTTCCAGGACTGCCAGATGGGCTTGGGGCTGCCCTGGATCCTCCTGGGGCAGTTCCCCGAGGGTCAGATGAGTCAGTGCCCAGACTCCTTTCCCTGTGCCTGCTGTGTCCCCTGGGCTGCAGAGCTCTCCTTTGCTGGTTTGTTGCCAGATGAGGAACTGTTGGCACCTGATGGATTAATCTCCGTGCTTATTCTGCAGGACTATGTTAAACATTAATGAAGAAGAAGAATGGGCAAGTAACCAGCCCTGTTATGCAAACTTTTTCTCCAAATTTGGGAAGCAGTACCAGGTCACTGGGCAGTCAGGTTTGACTTTGGGGTCACCAACCACCAGGGACCACCGAAGAGGCCTCTGGGACAGAGGAATACCTGCACAAAGGAAAGGAACATATGTTAATGATTACAGAGAATGATTATAATTTAGATGTTTACTCCAGGAAAATCAATGAGCATGTCTGTAAAATACAGTTTATAAGCAGGAGCTTTCCTGTACTCAGCATTCACAGTACTTGGGAGGAGATGCCCCCTTGTGCCTCTGGCTGAATAAAGAATGCTGCTTCTTAATGCTACATTGGTGTTAGGATGTTGCCCTGATTTTTAAAAGTGTTAAATTTTCTTTTACAGTTCTTTTTAAAGTTTTAAAGTTCTCATAAAACTCTTTAGCCTTCTGATAATGGTTACATATTTGAGAGTCAGAGTTCCCACACCATTTAATGTATAAATAGAAATAGTTTACATGTTTCTCTGTGGGTGGAAATAAATGATTGATCTTTGGACCAGTGTGGTTGGAGAGGTGGTACTTCCATCCTCCAATCCATGGCCATCTTTGGAATTCTGTAAATATCAGATGCTTGAATAAAACTGGGTCTTTTTCTCTTTTGAACTTACCAAGCTTCTGTGTACTCATTTTGTGTACAATGACAACATTAGGGAGTTTTGTTTTACCAATTTTAGATAACAAGTTGACAGAGAGATCCAGTCCTTTATCTGTGGGTGATGCCACCCTGGGCAGGGTCCTGCTCCCAGGCTCCATTCACTGCTGACCTGATGGGCCAGGCTGTCCCTGCAGATCCTCTGTGCTCTCCTGGCAGGTTCTGATGTCCTACAGAAAAGTGCTCTCCTGCCACCAGAGCCATCACGAGCTGCAGAGCCCCAGGCACATGACTTGGAGATCATTTGTCATCTCCAGGGCCATGGGCCACCAAAACACAACCCCTGAGCCAGCCCTCAGACCTTGATCTCACCCTCAGTGAGACCCTGATCCCACTGCACTGACTCCAGGGAGGAACAAGCAAAGCAAGGAAAGTTTATTCCTTGGGCTTGTTCTTTAGACTAACATCGAAATAAGACTGAAGCCTTCGGGCACTGCCCAAGGAGATCTCTCTGTCTGATGTAAATAAATGAGGGAGCCCAGCTGTGTCCAGCAGTGCCCCTGGCCTGTCCCTGCCTGCAGGCACAGCGTGGACACGCAGCAGGACAGGCACTGAGCTGCCAGAGCACTCCAGCCTTGGACAAGGACAACAAAGGAGAGACTGGAAGTGGGAAAAGTGCAGCTCTCGAAAGACCAGCTGCTGCTGTCCCTGGCAGTGCTGCTGGGCTGGGACTGTTTTCCCCTCTACCTCAGCACACAGGCACTGCCCTTGCAGCTGAAGGAGAGGTAACAGAGGGGAACTTTTTGAGAAATAAGTCCCTGCAAGAACATTTACTTTATTTAAACAAACAAGAACATGATGCCTCATTTAGATGGGTCAAGTTAAAGAGCTAGACAATTCAATATGGGATGATGATTAAATTTTCAGTGTGAAAATTATCACAAGATAAAAAGAGGAAAGTCTGCCCTCCCAGTCCCAGCACTATTAAAAACCTTAGAAGGGAAGCTGGGCATGTAATGTGTTACACCACGAATGCCCTGCAAAAGGAAATAGAAAGATTTTAACTTTAGAAAAGCACCCAGTCATGGCTTTTCTCAGGGCAGCCTTGAGCTCCTGGTTCCTCAGGCTGTAGATGAGGGGGTTCAGGGCTGGAGGCACCACTGAGTACAGAACTGACAGGGCCAGATTCAGGGATGGGGAGGAGATGGAGGGGGATTTCAGGTAGGCAAAAGTGCCAGTGCTGATGAACAGAGAGACCACAGCCAGGTGAGAGAGGCAGGTAGAAAAGGCTTTGTGCCGTCCCTGCTCTGAGGGGATCCTCAGCACAGCCCTGAAGGTCTGCACAGAGGAGAAAACAATGAACACAAAACAACCAAAGAGCAAACAGGCACTAACTGCAATGAGCCCAAAGTCCCTGAGGTAGGATTTGGAGCAGGAGAGCTTGAGGATCTGTGGGATTTCACAGAAGAACTGACCCAGAGTGCTGCCCTGGCACAGGGGCAGGGAAAATGTATTGGTTGTTTGCAGCAGAGCAATGAGAAAGCCACTGGCCCAGGCAGCTGCTGCCATGTGGGCACAAGCTTTGCTGCCCAGGAGGGTCCCATAGTGCAGGGGTTTGCAGATGGACACATAGTGGTTGTAGCACATGATGGTCAGGAGGGCAAGCTCTGTTCCAAGGAGGAAGATAATCAGAAAAACCTGAGCAGCACATCCTGCATAGGAGATGGTGCTGGTGCCCCAGAGGGAATTGTGCATGGCTTTGGGGACAGTGGTGCAGATGGAGCCCAGGTCGCTGAGGGCCAGGTTGAGCAGGAAGAAGAACATGGGCGTGTGCAGGTGGTGGCCGCAGGCTACGGCGCTGATGATGAGGCCGTTGCCCAGGAGGGCAGCCAGGGAGATGCCCAGGAAGAGGCAGAAGTGCAGGAGCTGCAGCTGCTGCGTGTCTGCCAGTGCCAGCAGGATGAAGTGGCTGATGGAGCTGCTGTTGGACATTTGTTCACTCTGAACATAGTGTCCTGTTAAGAGAAGAGTCAGTCCTATGCTATTTTCTTACACAGACACTGAAAATTACTTCTCTTTCTTTGGGGAAATTTCACTTACTTTATTTTTGAGTTGGTGTTTGTGCTGCTGAGTTACTGCCTCATCGTCAGCATTGCTCTCAGCCTGAACACTGGGGAGCCCAGAGGGAAAACAGGGCTCCCTGTGCCCCAGTGCAGTCAGACCTGCTGGTGCCACACAAGTGCCCTTTGATCATTTCACCTCCCTCTAGCTCAGCATGATCACACTTGAAATAAAGTGGACTTTTTGAATGCTCTGATTTAAAAATAATTTTCTTCAAACCCTTCTCCATTTCCCTGTGCAGCTGGGCAGGGAGGGGTATCCAGGGTTCCTCTGGTTTTCAGCTGCCTGGGGTTCTGCCTACTGGGAGCTGTTTCTCTCTATCCAAGCCTTGTCCCTGCCAGTGTTGCCAGAGCCCAGCCCTGCCCTGGGGGCTCAGCTCTGCCCTTTAGACCCCTCCCAGCACAGGGCACTGTCCAGGGGCATCTCCCTGGGCCTTAAGGGCAGGGCAGAAAACAGAGATGCTGCAAGCCAAGGTGCTGCTGCTGCTGTCTGTAGGTAGAGGAGGGTGAGGAGGCACTTTCTGAAGGAGATCTGAGGCAGATCTGCTGATGCCCAGGGTGACAGTGCAGGAGTCTCAGTGACACAGATAAAGCTGACAGCCCCTTTCCCTTCCCTTTAGGAGAAAGCTGAGAGCAGCCCTGGCCATGCTGCACCATCTCCACTGCGGGAGGAACCTGCCCTGATGGGGGTCACTCCTTCCACCTCCAACTTCTCCCCTGCACAGTCCATGGGGATCTGCCAGGCAGTTTGAGAGCTGCCCCTGGCAGGTGGCACATCCCCTGGGCCACCTGAGGGCTGCAGGAGCTGCTCTGCAGGACAGCCCTGGGCAGCTCTGGCTGCAGCCCCAGCTTCACCCCCTGCAGCCATCGCTGGCAGCAGGAGCCGTCCTGCCCTGTCCCTCTGACAGTGCCCAGGACAGCCCCGCTCTGGAGCACATCCTCCCCCAAACCAGAAACGGCAGCAGAGCCGTCCTTACAGGCACATCAGTCCTGTCCTGGGTCAGCTTCAGGAGATCCCTGCAGCCAGAGACTGACGGTGTCAGAAGTGGTGAAGATTTCTCCATGAATGAGCTCGGAGTTGTCCTTCCAGCTGCTTTAACCATTGCCCATGGCTCATTCCTCCCTGGTACCTGCAGGCAGTGCCCCAGCCCTGCTGGGCTGGAAGAGGAGCTGCTCCTCTGGAGAAATGTCTTTTTGAGCTCTTCTTGGTTTGCCAGGAGCCCGGCCCAGCTCAGCAGCACAGATGCAGCACAAGAACTTTAATGACCCTATTGGGGCTTTGGTGCTGTTTGCATCAGACCCAGACCCTCAGAGTGTGCTCAAAGAACTTCTCAAGAACTCAAAGTGAGATTGAAATACTGAAGTGTGGGAATCCAGGGCTTCCCTCTGGCTGCCCTGGAAGGCCTAGGACCCTGACAGGGGTCAGGAACCCCCCTGGACAGAGCCCCCAGAGACACTGGCTGTGATCTCTGTCCATGGAAAAGAGTTTTCAACCTTACAGGATGAATTACAAGCTCTGAGTGTTTGATATGAGTAGTAATTAAGTGTGGCACGGATGCAAAAGTAAAATGTTAGGATTCTAGAGGAGGGGTTCAAAGGGGACAAGATGGAGGAAATTGGGTGTGCCTTGTCCTTTTTCTCCTTCTTCATGCCCTCCATGTCTCACTGTGGTGTTGGCATTTTTCTGTTGGTTCAGGCTGGGGACACACTGTC